CCATAGCCATAGACAGTTAGTGAGTGTGTATGTGTGTGTGCAGTGGTTGGCGTGCATGGTATCCAGGGTGATCCGGAGTCGAGTTGCGTGTGAACTCTGAGTCGAACGTGTAAGTGTGGGCGCCCAGCGCCATAGTCAACTGAAGTAAACTTGGATTTGAGTTGAGTTGCAAGCTACCATATCTCCGAGTTTGAGTTGGGTGCACAGCGCCAAGTTATTCTCATCTGTTGCATGCATGTTTGAGTGTGAATCAGCAAGACTGATTTCACACTAAGCGTCACTAACCAAATTCTCAATTTAGAGGTATAGGGAGCCACCACAGAACAAACTGAAGTAACTGAGGTTCTGTTGCCAATTACGCCAGTCTGCTAGGAAAACAGGCCCATCCTGTCTATTGACTCTATATCCAATTTCCATATCCTGCGCAACTGGAACTACTCAGTGAAACCTGGACTTATCCATTGGATGAATGCAAAGTCAACCGGATGCAGAGATAAATCAGCTGATGGGCTAAACGGAGAGATTGAGCCACAGAGGTAGACAAAGTGATGACAGCAGTGGAGCCCCCTGCAAGACCCAAAAAAAAAAAAAAAAAAAAAAAAAAGTGACGACAGCAGTGGAGATACTGAGATTGAGCCACAACAATATATATAAAACTTAATACAAGTAAAGCCAGTGCGTCTACGCCCGCACAATTCCGATTAATTATCCCTGTACTATCATCAAATTGTTGTGAAAGGATTCAGGCTGCAGACACCCCTGTTCCGGTCACGGAGTCCCGAAGTGTCCCACTCCCAGGCTGTCCTGGTAGGATAGGCCGTAGGGTCCGTAGGCTGAAGCGTAGTAGGTCGGTAGGTGTGGGTACCGAAAAGTCGTAGGTCAGTAGAAGTCCGTCCGGTACCCGACAAGGAAAAGTCCAGAGAAGTCCAGTCCAGTTCAACAGTCCCAAGTCCGATTTTGCAGCATGTCACAGGAATGTCCGAAAGGTACTGGACCGACAAAATGTTTGCAGCAGGCAGGCCGCAGCCGACCGGTACCGGTCTGAAGCAGGCCAAGCCAAGCCAAGTCCTATATTTAGCTGCTACTGTGCAGTGGCCCATCACTTGTTCATTTTGTGAGATGCAGAAGTGCTGCTGCTGCTTGTGCGTTAAGGCAACTTGGGCACTTCACGCCTGAAGAAGAAGAGGGCGCTCAAATTTTACTCCAGAGCTAGGTTAGAGGTAGCGCAGGAGGAGGGCCGCCATATCCGCTGAGGTGGTAGCTTACCAGAGTAGGTGTATCCAGGGTGACGATCTACGTTAGAGAGAGAGAGAGAGCCAAGTCTCACACACACACACACACACACACACACACACACACACACACATACCACACACACACACACACA